CCGTCCGTCCGTCCGTCCGTCCGTCCGTCCGTCCGTCCGATCGCACGATAACTCAAAAACGAATAATGCTATCGACACCAAACTTTCACAAGTTTTTTCTTTTGTGCCAAGGACGAACCCTATTGTTATTGGACTAATTCGGACAACGGGTTCGGGTAGCTGCCATACAACTCAAAGAGTTTATTTTAAATATTTCGAAAACTAATAAAGCTATAAATATAAAATTTTGTATACATGTGTCCAATTATATTCTACACATGCTCTAAAAATTACAATGGGATAGCTGCACCGGTTCGGGTGGCTGCCATACAACTCCAACAGCAATTTTTTTATATTTGGCAAAATAATAAAGTCAGATTCGTGAAACTTGGTAGCCATGTGTCCAATTATAGGTCAAATATATTTCTGAAGTTTTAGAAGAATTGCTTGACAGGTTCGGGTACCTGCCATACAACTCCAGAAGGTAATTTTAAATATTTGGAAAAACAATAAAGTGAGATTCATGAAACTTGGCAGTTGTGTGTCCGATTGTAGATCAGATATATTTGTGAAGTTTTAGTGGAATTGCTTGACAGGTTCGGGTACTTGCCATACAACTCCAAAAGCTTATTTTAAATATTTGGAAAAATAATAAAGTCAGATTCATGAAACTTGGCGGTTGTATGTCGAGTTATAGGTCAGATATATTTCTGAAGTTTTGGTGGGATTGCTCAGCAGGTTCGAGTAGCTCCCATACAAGTCTAAAAGTTTATTCTTAATATTTGGAAAAATAATAAAGTCAGATTCATGAGACTTGGCAGTCGTGTGTCCAATTATAGGTCAGACATATTTCTAAAGTTTTGGTGGGATTGCTTGGCAGGTTCGAGTAGCTCCCATACAAGTCTAAAAGCTTATTCTTAATATTTGGAAAAATAATAAAGTCAGATTAATGAAACTTAGCAGTTGTGTGTCCGATTGTAGATCAGATATATTTGTGAGGTTTTAGTGGAATTGCTTGACAGGTTCGGGTTTGACGAAACTTGGCAGTTGTGTGTCCGATTGTAGATCAGATATATGAAGTTTTGATGGAATTGCTTGACAGGTTCAGGTACTTGCCATACAACTCCTAAAGCTAATTTTAAATATTTGGAAAAATTATAAAGTCAGATTCATGAAACTTGGCAGTCGGATGTCCAATTATAGGTCAGACATATCCGTGAAGTTTCTATAGAATGACTTCACGGGTTTGTGTAATTGCTACATAATAACGAAAGGTGCAGGGTATAATTCAATCGGTTTATACCGACTGAAACGTTTTTACTTGTTTTAATTACATACTGGAAAAATATTTTAATTTTTGGAAAACTCACATAGAAAAATGTAAAATATTAAAAATCTGAAAAAGTAAATTAGTTAGTTTCTTTAGACCTGTAATAGTAAAAAAAACTATTATTTAGAACTTAGAAGATTCAAGTTAGAACTTTAAGTACTTATATAAATTATCAAAAATCACCAATTATTGAAAAAAATTTTGTGATATCAGTTCCAATATCCTCAATTTCCTTTTATTATATTTGTTATGATAAAACGAAATATGACACATTAGTTGTTATTGTATAACACGATAATTGTATTAAATTTTTAATCTTTATTTTATTATTAATTTTCTAATTGTATTAACTTTCTAATTAAATTAACTCTTGTGTCATAATTATGGGAAAACAGTAACAAAAAATAACTTCAAATGATTATCAATAACTTCAGCAATGAAATAACTTCAAATGATTATCGAATATCGGTGTGAAAGCAGTAGAAAAATAAAAAGCATTAAACTGCTTTAAATAGCTTAATATTGCTAGCATCTCTTACAACTTTATCAAACACAATTATAACAGGATAACAAATAAATTTTGTCCCTTTCAGATATTTCAAAATAACATTCCGCTTTACTGGAAAATAATTTATTTATTAAATAAAAAAAAAACACGTCAAATGACCAGTATATATTTTTAGTTTTATTAAATATTTTATTTAATAATATATTTTCTTAATCATTTTTTTTTTATAAGTTTATTTTTAATAAAACTGCTAAAATAAAACTTCAAATTTTTAAGGCAAAAAAAAGTAAGTGGAATAATAGCACTATTATTATTCCTTGTCTTTATTATACACATTATCATGTTGTTTCTTCTTTTTTTATTTTTTTTTTGTATTTGTTTGTTTTTATTAATTTTAATTCAATTAAATAGGATTTAAACATTTTTTTTTTAATTAATGAATATTAATTAATAGTATTTGTTTTTTTTTTTTAATTTTTCAATTAATTATTTTTTTTATACAGACACATAAATTTAACTTTGATAAAAATTCTTACATAATATAAAAAAATTGTTAATATTATATAATTTATATACGTATAAATATAAGTGTTTAGAACAAGAACAACTTGCAATTATGTTTAAAATAATTTAAAAAAAAAATGTTATACAAACTTTTATTCCTTTCTAATTTTATTTAATTAAAAAAAAAAATTCTTTAAAAAATTCTAGAAATAAAAAAAATTTGTTAATATAAAACTAAACACTGAGCTCGAGTTTTTTATTCTCTTTTTTCTATATTATCATTTCAAAAAAAAAAAGTTAATAATTAAAGTTATAAAATATTAAAAAAAAAAATTTTTTTTAAAAGTCTTATACAAATAGAAAACGTCGTGATCGAGTTTTTTTTTTAAAATAAATTTTAAAGAAAAATAAATTTCAAATCAAGGCTTAAACATTTTCTCTTTTAAAAGAACAAAAAAATATTAATTTTAAATTCACACGGAATGTAAAACAAAAATATGTTTAGAATAGATCAAAGGCAATTTTTATTCTATTATCAAATTTTATAATACATACAATCAAAACAATATAGCCACTTCTTCATTTTAATGCATAAAGAAGTAATTGAGTTTGTAAAACACATAAGATATTATGACAACTAGTTAACAATGATTAAATGAAAACTTCCAATTATTTAATAAGAAAATGTTTTAAATAACTAGAGTATTGAAAATTCTAAGAATTTTATTATCAGAAACTTTGATAAATTTTGAAAAAATATTGAAACAATCGACATTTTATACTAACAATTAATTTCTTTTTTATAAATAATATTCAATGTAATTTGGTAAAAAATATTAAAAAGCAAAAATTCAATTGAAATTTTAACAAGATAAGAAAAATAGAATAAACATTTTAAATTTTCATAGTGAATTTATTTGTAGATTTTAATTTAATATGATTTAATATTAAAGTTAAATTAAAAAAAATCAGACATTTTAGAAATTATTGTTAAAAATTATGAAAAATACTATGATCCTAATTACAAATATATTTAAAAAATTTAAGAAAATATTTTTCGAAATGATTTTCATTACATACAAATTGAAATTTTTCAAAAATTTTAAATTAAAAGTTTTGTAGTAAACTTACTATAGAATTTAAAATTAAAAAATTCTTAAATTAACAAAAAAAATTAAAAAATGTTTTATTAATTCTTTGTTTTCGCAGAGATAATTTATTTTAAAACATGAAATAGTGAAATGATAAGACTTGTTTTGAAATTTTTCTATTTTCTTTTTTTTCCTCCTTTTTTTTTCCTAATAAATTATTAATTAGTCATACGATCTTCATAAAATTTTGGATTTGATTACGAATGTTAAAAAATATTTTCAATATTAAGAGGTTAATAACTAATATTTAAGCAAATTATTTGACACAGATCAAACACAAATTGATACCTAACGCAAGTGGATCCAATTAAACATGCCAATAATTATTTATTTTATTTTTCATTGGAAAAATGTTACAATCACAAATGATTTATGTCAAATTAATTTTTTTAAAAAATATCAATTATCAATTATTGAAAATATATGATTGACATTCGGAATTTAATCCAATTATTAAAAATATAATTAATAAAAAAAAAATGTTATTTTCTCAGCTTTTAAAAAGCTTATTTTAAAATTAAACTCTTCTTGATTTTTATTCGTTTTTCCTTTCAAATCGATTTTAAATAAATCTTAATTTTTTTAAATTTTAATTTTTCCTTTTTTTTTTAATATATTTTATTTTGTTTTTGGAAAATTATATCATTATTTTTCTTTTGTTATATTATTATATGTAATGATATACAATAGTAACTCTATTAAAGATGATATAATATATGTGTGTTTTTTCTTTTTTTTTTGTGTATATATATAAATTTAATTAAATTTAATAAGCTTTTTATTTTTTTTTTCTATAAAATATTAAAAATACAAGGAAAGAGGTTTTCTGTTTTATTTTCTTGCTACAATAATAATTTAAGTTTTGTGTGAGTGTGTTTCTGTTTTATCTAATTTTTATATGAAATTTTTGGATTATTTGTTAATCATTCTTTTCTTTAATTTAAATTAAGTAATTAAAAAAAAAATTAATATTTTTTTCTCATTTCTTAAAAATTTTGCATTTAATTTTTTTTTTCCTTTATTACTATTTAATGTTACATATGCCACATACAATTAGGATTTCAAACATTAAAAATTAATATTTTTTTTTTGGGTCCTTTTATCAAACATACCTTTTCATTTTGAAATAGATTTCAAATATTTTTATATTTGAAATTTATACATTTCCTCTTAATTTTTATTTTCATTGAATATTGTTTTATCATTTTTATAAATAGTTATATAGAGTTTCCTTTTGTATTTTATATTTGTATATATATATATATATATATATTATACATATATGCATATATAATTAATTTAAAATATATTTATATATAATTTTATATTTATTTTTAAATTAATTTAACTGATTTCAATGAAATTATTTTCTTTATTTTTTTATTATTATCAATATTAATATTTTGTCTAACAAATTTCAATTAATTATTAATTTTAATAATATTAAATTACATTGTATTTTTTTTAGTTTAATAAATTTCTACTATTTTCTTTTTAATGATGTAAATATTTTTTTGTTAATTTTTTTTTGTTTTTTTAAACATAAAATGAAAAGGAAATGAACGAAAGAAAATTGAAAAGAAAATTTAATTTCATTAATTTATCATGTTTTTTTTTTACTTTTTATAATTTTAAGATTAATTTTTTTTTATATATAAATATGAATGCGTTTATTTTTTGTGTCTTAAAATGAAATAAAAAGTGGTTGTGAGTTGTGTGAATTTAATGTTATTTTTATTTAATTTTTAATTTTTTCTAAAATTACTTTTTTTTTATGTATATTAAATTATTATTTTTATATGGTTTTTCTCTTATTTTCAACTTAAATTTTAATTTCCTTTTTTTGTTTTGCTTTTTTTTAGATGTAGATTAGTAAAAATTATTATTCGGGAATTGATTCATGTTTGTTATTATGATTTTGCTGTTGTTTAAATTTATATTGAAACTTAATACGAATTTTTTTTGCATAGTGACGGCCCTTTGAAAACAATCACTTTGTAGTTTTTGATCATGATTTACTTGACTTAGCTTTTTCAATGTAAACGTTTAATAATCTACAATAAAAATAAAAATTTTTTAATTATTCATATTAAAATAAATAAAAGGAAAAGTGTGTGAATATTTTCCTAAATAATAAATATAAAAATAGAATAAATATTGCAAAAAGAAAAAAAAATCTAATGTGGTTAACACATAACCGACTAGTTATTGTCTAGTCAACATAGCTAGAAAAATGTAAATTTGGCTCTTACTAGAATTTCAACTGTGCTATCCGAATTCCCAGTTAGTTTCGGTAACAACCTGAACTCAAATATTAAATTTCAAGAAATTCCATCAATTCTTTCCGTAGATATAGTGAAAAATGTAAAATCGGCCCGCAGATCAATTTATATGTTAATTGTTTTAGTACGAAGAATTTAAATATTAAATTTTAATGAAATCGGTTGATTATTTCTCTTTATATACGCAAAAATGTATATTCGGCCCGTAGTAAACGTCCAGTTGCTGACACCTGATTTCTTCCAAAAGTTAGGAAGTTTCGTGGACGGTGGAGCAAGACTTATATATGAAATTTTAAGCAAATCGGTTGAATATATTCTTTAAAATGGTCAAAAATGTAAAACAGGCCCGCTAAAAAGTGCAGTTTCCGAGGCCTGATATATCCCAAAAGTTGATCAATCCATGCCTTGGTCGAAATAAAATTACAGATAAAATTTCATCAAAATCGGTTCAGCCGAACTTGAGATACACGCGTGCACACACATACAGACAAACCGACAGACCGACAGGTTTCTAAAAATAGTTTACTTACACTTCTCTACTATGGAGAAGTGCATTCCCACCGAAAGCTCGATATCCAAAATTTGTTGCCATCACATAACCCACCTATTGTATATACAATACGGTCGGTAATAAAAATAATACGATATACAAAAGAAAATCAAATTCATACATTCAAGTTAATTTTCTGAATACCTTTTAATAATAAAGATTTAATTTAAAATTTATTACTTATTTAGTTTATTACCTTATTTTACTAGCATTTAAAATTGATAATTTCGGCTTCACTTTCTCTTCACCCATTACAATATACAATTTAACAATACAAAATACAGCCGCCTTTCTAACAACCGACACAGAATCATCAGCCAACTAAAAAAACATTAAAAAAAAATTTTTTTTTTAAAATACTAATCAAATAATTGTATTAAAATATTACCCTGGCCAAATTTGGCATAACACTTTCCAAATGATTTTCAGTGAATTGTTCACCTTGTTTTTCAGCTAAATCATTTAATAATTTTACAGCACATAAGTTCATTGGATATACCCCAGTTGCTATAACTGTATTTAGTATATTTATTGTTGCATTTACTGGTAATATTGAAGCTATTCGTGGCAATAAATTGTCGATGTCTTTCACAGCCTTAAAAAAAAAGCCAATATGTTGTATCAAACGGAAATTAATTTTAAAGTTAACGTTGATATTTACTTACTTCTTTATTTTGCTTATAACAGTCAATTATTTTTAATAAAATTAATTCTAAGAAATTATTCCAATATGGTTTCATTTTCTCACTTCGTAAAATTTTTGCAAGGACTCTTAAAGCAGCTATCATTATATCACTATTTGGTGATTCCAATAAACTTAGCAACATTTTTATAATACCTCTAAAAATTTTTAAAACAATGTTTTATTTTTTTTTTTGTCAATTAAATTTTTTATAATAGTTACTTGAAATGCTTATTTGGCAATTCACAATTTCCATATTTAATACAAGCAGCTAAATCACACAAGGTATGTTGGATAACTTCCATACTCGTTTCGTGATTTAAAACTATGGCAGCCTGAATAATATCACTTTCTTTAAGATTGTCTAAAACAGAAAAAAAAAACAAATAAAATTAGAAATGAAAAATAGAATTTATAACTGGTTGACTTTACTTTCTAAAATCACTTCACCGTTTTCCAAAAATTGTATGTTTTGGTAGCGTTGTGATGCAGCTAATCTACTATTTTGCATTTCCATTGCATGTTCTAAACGTACTGTATTTTCTGGGGTATTTGATTCAGTTGTTGTAGCTGATTGTGTTTTCGATCCATTACACGACTCTTCTCTTTCAGATCTAAATGTACACAAATATATGTATATGTATATGTACATATTTAAACAACCAAATTTGACATTACAACACTTACCCAATATGACCATTAATACCATTTGCTGATAATAAGTGAGATTCACCATGCAATAAATTACTATTTGCATTAATGCCAAGATTAATATTAGCTGTAGTTGTTACTATATGATCCCCCATTTGACTAATACCAGAATCTTTACTATTAGTATCACGATCCAATTTTGCTTCAAAACTATAATTTTGGATTTCAGCTGTTGTTTTTCTTAAACGTTTATAAACTTCTTCACTATTCAAATTTTCAGTTATTTCAACAGAAGACTGTCTAGATCTTGGGCCTGTAAGATTATTTTTCAATTTAATTTTAAATATCTAATTTTTAAGTAATATGTATTTATTTTTAAATTAATTGTTTTTTTATCTGACATGCTACATATGGCATTCTACATATCATGCAAATTAAATAAATTTTTATAAACTTATACTAATTTATTTTAAATTATTAATATATATAACATAATAATAGAATATTCGACTAAAAATTACAAAATACGATTTGAAAATTAAAAAAAAACTAATGTTTGTGAATAACTATGTATGTATGTACTATATTATACTTCGACATAATTATATTTTATATTCTTAAAACAATTAATTAAGCATTTAAAAAATTATTACATTACATATTTCATATTATTAAATTTTAATAATTTGCTTTTATAGATAACTAATGTTACTATAAGTTTTGTAAGAATGAAAATGTAATTTTCAATTTATTTTACTAACTATATTTATTTTTTTCCTTTTCAAAAGCGGCATTAAGTTTTTCAAATATTTAATTTATTCAAGCTATATATGTCTATATGTATGTACGTATGCATATGCTTTTCAAATTCAGCTTAGGACAAATGTAACATGATTTCTAATTACAAATGAATTCTAATTAAAGAAAGAAATCAAATAAATAAATAAATTAATAAAAGAAAAGAAAAAACAGCAGAAGTCATCGAGATACGAATAACTAACAAATTAAATAGAAATAATTCCATTTCAGAAGGGCATGTAATTATCATTGTAGGCATCTCTAAATAAAATCAAGCATAAAAACTACGAAAAACTAATAGCGCATTCTATTAGAACCATAATCTATGAAATAGAGTAAATCATCATAACTAATTTAGAAGTGCAAGCAGACCAATGGCAAGTGAAATGCATTTAGTACAGCATAAGAGAAAAACTTTATGTTTCAATTTTTCTATTTAAAGTACTTTCATTGTAATAACGGCTATACTTAATACATAAAACAGCCACACCAAATATAATGTGGAGTAGGAGTAGTTATACACTCGAAAAAATATTTACTGTCGATATAACATGATGAATACAACATGAAAATTTCCTATCCGATATTAAACAACTTTATTTCAGAACAAAATTATAATTTTATCATTTTAAATGATTGATTTACAAAGACAAAATATTTAAAATTATATTCAATAAAAATATATATATATACGTATTTATATATTTATTTATAAACAAAAAGAAAAAAATGTAAACGTCGATTTTGATTCAGCATTGAATTTAAATACAATTTGAAAATTGAAAAACGAATGTTCAAGACAAAGAAACTATATGATGATTTTAATAATTACAAAATAAGATACTGAGCTCGTAAATTAAGTCAATATTTAAAAAATAAAAAGCATTATCTCGATACGTTGCCAAAAGAAATAATAACTTACCTATAATATAAGATGTTTTTAATTACTAATTAATAAATATCCAACTACATACGTTAATTTTGAAACAAGAACTATATTATTATATTATTTTATTGTTAAATTTTAACTCATATTTTAACCAAACATTGAATTTTATTAAATTGCGAAAATATAAAATTAGTAAGAAATTGTTATTGTTAGTTTTTTATACGAACTCCTTTGTTGTATCTTTAAAGAATAGAAAATATTGAAAAATATTACTATATTATGTATTTTTAAACGTTGACAAGGTAATATTTTATTAAGTATCTCTTCAAAAAAAAAAAAAAAAAACAATAAAAAAATAAGTTTCCGAATCTATTTCAAATCCAAGAACAATAAAAGAAAAGCTTTCCTAAATTAAATGTCGTATATAGCCATATAGAATTAAAATTTTTCAAATTAATCTTTTCATCCACGAAAATTATATTAATTGTAGCTATCTATTGGTAATTGATTAAATATAATATAAATTTTCATCACTTCTCTGAATGAATCACTTTCAGTTTATAACATGAGAAAGACAAAGCGATATTTTTATATCAATCAACAATATAATCGGTGACACCATAAGGTAAAGCAAAAATTAGTTGATTATAGTTAGACGCTTATCATTTATTTGTGGAGATAATAATAAAAAAGTAAAAAAAAAATTATCAAATTCCATAGAATTCCAGCAAAAATAATATATATCCTTGCAAAAAAATATATAAAGTGTTTTAATTAGTACAGCTACAAAATTTAAAAAAAAAATCCATAATACGATTGACCACATACTTTCCCATCTGTTTGAAATATATTAAATCTTATTCAAAGCTTCATAAAAACCAAAAACTTGAAGCTGTTTTTCAAAATTTAAAAGAGATTCTATAGGAAAACATTACATAATATTACTATTTTCAAATTGGCAGGAAGAATTTACCATTAAAAAAATGGGAAACAAAAACAAAAATAAAACATTTCAAAAAGTTATTTAAAAATTAAGCAAAAATACTCAAATTTTGTTAGAATTTATGTACTCTTGTATGTACTAAAATAAAATAGCTACAAAAAAATATATAAAATAACAACTCTAAGACGACAATAAAACAACAAAAAAAAATTAACAAAACGCAACAAAACAAAATAACATCATCTCCAAAAAAAAAATCATCTGTACTTACTAGAGTTATTTTGTAAACTATATGGACCTTGCGATGGACTAACCAAAGGTTTTGGACTCGAGCATGATAATGGTGATGATGATGGACTATCAGTTCCTAAAAATCAAGCAATTTGTAATGAAAATTATCTACGCGGGTATAAGGAATGTACTATGTCTGTAATTATTATTAGTTTGTAATTATTAGATTTTTTAGAAAAAAAAACACAAAAAACTGAAAACAAAACAAAAAGCGTGGATAAATTAAATTTCTGTTTCTAAAATTATTGCTATTTAGATTTGTTTTCTAAAACTTTTATTCATTTTTAAAAAGCTGCATGGTTGTGTGTTTTTATTTTTTTAATATCTTTAAAATTAAACTGAAAAAAAGTACTATTCATATTTTATTTTCAATGTAAATTATATTTTATTATTTAAAATAATTAATTGATAAAATTTCATATTAAAAATGTGTATAGTGTTTCTTCTATGCAAAATATATAAGAAATAAAATAAAAAGTATAGCGATATAATAGAAAAAAAATTAACAAACAATATAAATGTAGTAGCAAAATAATTTTAATACCGATCCTTCGTAAGAGAAAAATCCTTGTAAAAACTTTAATTAGAAAGTAGAATTTTAGTAAAAACAGTTTTAGTATGTATTATTGAAGTAATATAATAATCTCCTACTTTAATTATGTAGTAAAAGAAATGTTGGAAATTTTTTCTAATATGATAACATTCCTAAAATATTTTGTAAAATTGTTTTTTGTTTAATTAAATCCAAATACATAATATATTACAATGTATTTATATATAATATATATACATATATATATATATATATATATATCAATATTTTATATAACTTTATAAATATTTAATAATAAGATGGAATCAAATAAAGTTTTTGTTTTAAACTAGAAACCATAATATTTTTTTACGTTTTTAAATTTTAATACATAACAAATTTTAATGGTTTCGAGTTTACACAAAATCGAAGTCGCTTTAAATACGCACCGGAAGTACTTCTTTTTAGATGTTGTTGAATTATAGAACGAGCAGTGTCCTGATAATTCTTTGGTAATTCAGACATCATCATTGTCATCTAAAAAATTGAAATCGTGTTATAACTTAATCATGTACATAAACAAAAAAAACTTACATTTGGTGTATTACAATTATATAATGCAATTAAACAATATCTAGCTTGTGCTCTTAATTCAGCACTTTTTTGATCAATTGATAACTGTACAATTTTTGATATTGCTTTTTCAGCTGGACCTTCATTTGTAAAATCTGATGCCGAACAATATGTTGTTGCTAAATTTGTTAAAAATTTTAATGTTGCAATACGTGTTTTAGTTGATGGTGTTTGTGCTGCATCAACTAATATTCTAAATACACAATGCATTTGTAATTCTGTCGGAAAATATTCATGAACAAGTTGTAAAGTTTTCCATATTTTACCATGCATTGAACCTAATAGCTCAGTACCAAGTTTATTAAATAAACGTGTTAATAATATAAATAACCAATTATGTAGATCATGTGAATGAGCTAAAATTAATTCATTGACAGTATCCAAAAATAAAGCATACACTTTTGTATGTGTATCCATAAACATTTTCCGGAACATATCAAGAACACACTAAAAAAAATTTTAATATAATGTAATTAATTAATAACCTTAGTAAAATTCGTTTATATATTGAACTATACCTGTAATTGTGTCGGTGTTAACGTTTTTCCATCAGATAAATATTGCGTTAAACTAATTAGACCATCTTTTCTTTCAGCCCAATGAGTTGAGGCACAATATTGTATAATGAGGTCAATATCTTCAATTGGAGCACGAAAACTATCAAGGCGATTTCGAGATCCATTCCAAGAATAATTCTATATAACAATATAATGGAAAAAATTAGTAACTTAATTAAAAAAATAATTACAGTTATATAGTTTAATTAAAAATGAAAAATTTGAACAAAACAAAATTAAAAATAAACTATTCGGCAAGTATATTTTCATATTTCAACCTACATCATGCCCTCGCCTTGAATCAAAACTTCTTTCTGAACATACTGAGGAGGCTTCACTTTCATCAGATTCTTCTCTTGATAATTTACGTCCTAGTGATAGTCTTGAATAATCTGATGATAAATCAGCATCTTCAGGTGACTAAAATAGAAAAAAAATGGCATTTTACTTACTTTTAAATTAAAAACAAGTCGATAAAAAATTTTATATACCAATGCATCTGCTAAAGCGGTCTCAGCTTCTCTACTCTGTTGTAAAATTTTTTGTGCTAGTACAGGCCGTGCTGGATTAATGGGTGGTCTATCTGGTCTTCTAGGGCTATTTGCATACAATTTTCTATTAAATGGCCCTCTGAAATTAAATATTTTTTTTTAATTTTCCTACTTGCCAAGAAAATCCGTCATATGTACCTTGTTGGACTTGTTTCTCTTGAGTTTGCTAACGATCTGGGTATACCAGATGATTTCTTTGGAACTGTTCCTGTCGGTCTATATGATGAAAAGGAACCATACATTTCCCGTAACTTTGATGACGGCGATGTACTACGTGATGTGGCTAGTTTGCAAAATAAGAAAAAAAAATTATTATTTTTTCCGTAAATATTTTTATATTATTTAATAAAAATAAAAGAAAGACATTTGTTTTATTTACGTTGTGATTGTGAAACACCCGCTCTAGATCTAGGTACTACGGCTGGTCGATGTTCAGGGGAAGAATGTTGAGGTGTTGCTGTATTGCTACTACTTGTGGTTGATATTTTCTTTGCTCTTGCTACATAGCGAATTGATAATAATAAAATAATCAAAAAATAATATTTAAATTAAATTCACTTTCAATTCTTAAATATTTTATTTTAAATTATCAAAATCGAAAATCTTTCTTAAAATATTTATTATTTGCTACTAATATAAAATTAATTATATTAAAAAGTATTAATAATTACCTTGCTGAGCAAAATGCCCTTCTGCATAAAGCAAAAAAAAATTGTTAATAATAGCAAACGCAGAAGTTTTTAAGAAAAATAAACAAAAAAATAAGAGCAAAAACAAAATAAAGTTCATATTTTATACTCAAAAACAAAAATGAATTAAAAATTATATTAATTTAAAGATTTTAATATAGTAATGAATGAAAAATACACACACTCGTTTTGAAATATGAAAATGGAACAAAATCGTTAAAAAAAACACAAATTCAGGATAATGATGCTTTATGAATTTCTCTTTAAAAAAAAGTAGTATGATAATAAGTAATATAAGTAGGTACATGACTAAAAATTGCAAATGAAAAATGTTATAATTAATGTATGATGGGGATTATAATGATTGAAGTTTAATGGGAAGCTTATTTTAACAAATATATAATAATAGAATATTGGAGTACATATAAAAAGTATCTAAATTCGTAAGTAAATTAGAAAAACATTCCATTTCAAAAAAAATAATATTATACAAAAATGTGTATATTCTTACAAAATAAAAATTACTAAAATAAATATAATAAGTAATTGAAATTTTACTTATCATATAAATTATAAATTACATAATATTAGCACTTACGTAAAGATGCTGTTCCTGATGTCATTTTCATTCTAGCTAAATTAGAATATTGTGCACGAGCTCTTGCTCTTTGAGCAGCAGCTGTATCAACAGCAGAAATGCTTCTTAAACCAGCTGCAACATTAAGTTTTAAAATTCAAATAATATTAAACCAAAAACCAAAAAAAAAAAAAATTATAATGAAAAAAGAATTTAAAGATGAAAAGAGAAAAAATTATTACAAAAGAACGGAAAAACCGAGAAGTTTTTGAAAATCTTTGTAATTTTTTATTTATAGCAACAAGTTTTCATACTGTTTTGTAGGAATATTGAAATAATTCAATTGATTAATTAAACTAAAATAATTTCATATGGTTGTCTGCATAGATTGCATTCAAAAGATTTAATTAACATGAATTTTAAACTCAAATGAATTTTTATATTGTATATAAAATGTTTAAAAAAATAAAATATTGAAATATTTCATTTTTGAAGTAACTGACTGAATAACTGTAAATAGTGTCAGCCAGCCCATCTAACAGTATATTAATAATAATTAAAAAAAATTCTTTAACGTAGTTATGAATAAAACAAATTACAGATTCATTTGAAATACTTTTTTTTTTTAAAGAAAAACAAAATTTAAGATTTAATATTTCGTATTTCAAAGTATATTCTGGTAAAATCAAATATATTTTCAATTCATTTTAAATAAAAAAAAAAATAAATTAAGTGATTTAAGTAATTGCAATGATGATAGAAAGTACATAGTTGAAATTAGATTTTTGTTTTTTTTTTAGTAATACGAAATGATACTTCATTTGTAATTGTTAGTGATGTTTTAAATTTAAAATATGTTAACAAAAGATTATTATTGAAAAAACATTATACTTTTGAAGTAGCAGCAATCTGAAATTAAATTCTGAAAAAATAAATGTTTTGCTGGATGGTAGTCAGCTATTTTACATTAAATTGTTTAATTAACACATATTTCATTAAATTATATAAATATTTGAATGTGCTGTCGATAGAAAATCATGAATATTATCTTATAATAGAAAAAGTAAAATCAAATCTTTTATAAATTTGTTCGAAATTTAAATTCATTGCACCAAAAAAAAAAGTTTTCAACAAAATTTTAAAAATAAAATTGTATAAATTTTATTTAAAAATAAAAAAAAATATTATAAGAAAAAATCTCAAACCTCTAACCGGTAGCTCTCTTTGAGCTACAGGAATACCACTACGATTTCTATTATAAGAACGAGGTAATGAAGGTACTCGATTTAATTTTGTACCACCACTTGATAAATTTTCAGTACTTATACTCGTTGCTAAATTAATTATGATTTATTTATTTATTTTTAATATTATTTTTGTAAAATTTTCCACAAAAATTTTCATTAAAATAAAAATAAATTTAAAAATCAAAATAAATAAATAAATTGAATTATAATCAAATTTGAATTCAATACACATGATAAAATGAAAAACAAATAAAATAATAAATAAAAAGAAAATTAAAATTTTCCAAGTTCAAACATTATGTTTTTTTTTTTGTTTTTAATTTTTACAAAATAAATTACAAAACAACAAAATTTATTATACATTAAATTAATTAAACAATAAAATGATGATTGGTAATTAATTTAGTTGATTAATTTTAAATAGTCCGCATTTTTTTTTAAATTTTTTATTATTTTTGATTAAATATGATTGATTGTTCGATTGATTGCATTATTTTGTAAAATAGATAAAAAATATAAAAATTTTCTTGTTAGTTTTTGTCTAAATAAAATTTGCATCTACACTAAAAATAATTTATTTTTAATTAATATATTTATTTATTATTTTGTTAATTTTTTTCTATTAAAATTAGTAATTACTACGTATAAAATAGTGTTTTTAATCGTTTTAGTAATTTAACTAAATTATCAATTAATTATTAATCTGTAATCAAATATTGTTTAAGTTAAAACTGGCAAATTTTGAATTTACAAAAATATATGAAATTTACAAATAATCTATGAAATTTGTATAATAATCATAATGTTATTAAAAGTAATTAGCTTTTATTTTTATTGAATTTAAAAATTCTACTTTTAAGCTTTAAAATTATAGCAAATTGTTAATGGCTAACCGTCTTAAATTTTATTGTCGATTGATGTGAAATTGAAATTATTTTACAAGAAACGTGAAAAAGACGAAATAACACTATTATTGTAAAAATATAATATGATATATTCTAAGATTTACTTGCTTATACGTAGTAAATACTTTTGAAAATTTTTAATAAATGAAAACAAACAAATGCAAATAATTGTGTTTTTTTTTATGTTACCTGAGGGATTAGCAGTAGCTGGTGATCTTAAACCTGTTGAAGTTCTTCGTTCTATTAATGTGTTTTGGGTTGTATTAATGATTTTCAAAAAGGGGAGCAAAATAAATACAAAAAAAAAATATAGACAAATATGAGCAATATACACTTGCGCAAAATTTTAGGTAATGAATTTTGACTTTTACAAATTTTCATGAAAAATATAATAATATATGTTCAAGTTAATTTGTTAATATCCTTTTTTATATGTGGGTTTTTAAAGTGGTTGTAAATTCAATCGGTTTAGTAAAAAAATTTAGCAATATAAATATTTAAATGAAAAAATTTATGGTAAAGGGAAAAAATAAAAATAGGAAATGATTGTGAACTTGTATGCATTTATAAATATAATTTTAATATTTACAGAGTTTTTTACATTAAAATGATCTTTTTTTCGTAAAGTCTTCATTTACTCAGTAAGAAGTTATAAATTTTCTATTTGACCGAAAAATTATTATTTGGTTAACATTTATTATTTCAAAATCATACTTCATCTTGAATAATTTTAATTTTAAAAATTGTTATTAATATTTGAAATAAAGCTTAAATAACGTTGATAGCTGTATTTAAAAAAAAAATCTTAGGTCATTGCTTTACAGCAATATTATTTATGTTATAATAAATAATAAATGATAAGTGAAATATTAAAAATGCAGCGATTTCGTTAAAACTTTCAATCTCAAAATTTATCACACTGCGAATATAAGCTTCCAGTTCAAATTTAGTATACAACTCTTTGTAATTTTACAAATGAAATAAAAACGAAAAAAAAAATACACAATAACAAAAAAGGACAATAAACAAACTACTTTTAATATTTCGGCGATTTTTTAAGTTAAAATTATAATAAAATTATTCTAAATACATTACAAAAACCAGACAAAACACGTACTTATTACAGTTCCCGGCATTGAATTCAAACTTGTATTACTACCACGTAAACTAGCACTCATCGAACCTGAACCATTTCCACCAGATAATATATCTCTTTCACGATCCAATTGCTTTTGTGATGTTAAATCTAATGACATATATAAATTATCTGCATCACTTGGAAAATGTTTTTTAAATGACCAAAATGCCCTAAAAATAATAAATAGATTAATATTCTCATATTTTTTTATAAATGTTCAAATGTTTGATATGATTTTTGGCATTATGTATCTCGAATGCATTACCTTCTACTATATTTCCTTGCATCATTATCTGCATCATTAATACCTTTTTTTAATGCATCTTTTAATAATACAATACTACGTTCAATACATTTTGTTTGCCATTCATCAAATATTAATATCATTAATTCACATATTGTTGCACGTATATCTTTTGATTTTGATTGCATTAAATTTGATGTTAATATTGGTATTAATTTTGGTGCATGTGTATATTTCATAATATATTTTAATGTAATTATAGCAGCGGAAGATATAACTTTGGCAGCATTTGGTACTAAATTAATTAATTCTTGTAATATATAAATGCAAAATTGATCTAATTTATTCCTTAAGATTTTAGCCATATATGCAAGTGTTATACATGCTTCACGTATTACTTGTGAACGTAATTCAGTTAATATATCTAGGAATGCTCTTGATAAATCTTTTAAATATGCTGGAAATGTTGGCTGACTTTGTACATTCATAATTAATAGAGAACGAATTTTTTTTAATGCATCAACACGTTTCTCCCAGTCTATATTTTTGTCACTTATTTGTATTGTTATTTGTTTAAATAATTCTTCAATATCACGATTTGTAAATATTGTTATTGTTGGTACATTTTCAAAGGATGCTTCAAAAATTTCTGGTGTTACTGAACCAACATCAGTACCACTAGCTGTTGTTACATCTAAGGATTGTGGTTTTCTCATTGTTGCTGATATTGTTCTTTTAACTAAACGTGTTGGTCTTTGTGGAGCGGTAGCGTCAAGTTCGTCTTGTCCGTTATGATTTAATGCAGATTTTAATAATAAACCTTCTTCACGTATTTCTTCAAATTTTTGTTCTAAAATAGCCAATTTCATTGGCGGTACTTCCTTTTTACGTAAGTCAACTCTAAGTCTATCACCTAAAATATATAAAGTAATTTAATAAAATAGGTAGAAAAAAATTAAAATTTATATATAGATTTATGTAGAAGAACAAATCTGTGAAAAGGTAACAAATCTGTGAAAAATAAAAAAAAAATGCGATAAAAGTTTTGCAAATCAAATTTTAATTATTTCAAAAATTTGAGATGCCCAGAGCGCATTATTGGTAGAAAATATAATATTAAAATTATAAGAACTAGAAAACTAGTAACATAAGAAATGTGATTTTTGTCAAAATGTGTAAAGTTTAGGTGTTGCAGCTAATTTCGTATTAGCTTAAAAATATCCATTTATATTACGAAAGCATAATATTGAAAAAAATACTTGATGTGTATTAAACAAATAATTAACAAAAATAAGAGAAGTGTTGAATTGAAATATTTTTAAAAATTATTGTGGTAAATATTTGTTTGAAAAAATGAAATTTTATTCCTCGTTAATGGTCGCTACTTTAATTAGCACTTACCAACGTGTTTATAAATTTCAACTAAAGTTTGTATGGCTGCATCACGTACTGTTGCTGTTGGATCACCAAGTAAATTAACTATAGGTTGAATATAACCTTTTAATGAGAGTTGAGCAGTCCCGTACCTAAAATAAAAAATTTAAATTAGTAAATTAATTTTAATAAATCATGTTTTATTACTTACTCATTAAGGGTATTTACTATCGTTTGTAAAAATTCTTCTCTAACTTTTGCGTTCTTATGTTTAAAACAAATTGTCAATTTATCAATTAAATTTTGTGGTGTTGAAACTTTTGATTCCATCAAATTGTGCAATAATAATTGTGCTTTCTCTCTGACTGTATCTTTACTATCACCTAATCTATCAATAACATGTGGCAATACTGTTGCTGTATATGCATTAAAATCTGGTCCAAGACGTTTTATTAATTCTGTGAATGCTTCTAATGATTTTTGTGCAATCTGTAAAGTTAAAACATGAAAAATTTTAAATTTTTATACATTTATAACAATGTATTAAATAATAGAGAAAATGAAAAATTTACGTTTAGTTTTTAAAAAAAATTTTAATATTTCAAAAATTTTTCAATTTTCCTATTTTTTACATTAAAAAAAGTTTATAATTTATTTAAATTTTGTTTTTATTATTTTATTCAAATAACGAATGTGGGTAGAAAATATAGTCGTACATCTAATTTAAGAGTAAACAAACGGAAAAAAACATACATTCATAATTATTTAATTTTTATTTAAACTTTTGCGAAATAATTCAAAAATTTCACGCTTCGATAATAATTGCCTTCTTGAATTATAAACAAAAGAAATTTTCACATACGTTAGAGAATCAAGAAAAATATGTTGAAAATTTAGTTTTCTAAATAGCTTAAAAAATGAAATAGTTACTAAAATAACAAAAAATTGTAGAAAATCGACTACGATAAAAACTCGATTGTAATCGATTTTAACCAATTGGAGATTTGAAAATAACACTGTTGAATTGCCTTTGTTTTACGTATACGGCTACAGATGAAACTGCAAGTAATGTAATGTCAAAATGTTGTAACTAAATGTCATAAGATTTTTATAAGATCTTACATCATCATTTTCTGGTCGTTTTTCATAAAAATTTAGGGAAAAACTTAGCTAGACACAGTTAACATATATTTCTTTTCAGTATGGATCTTTATTTAGTTTTCATAGAATTTCAATTTCTAACTGTCATATTACCTGCTACGTGCAAAGTGCACATGTATTACAGTAGAATCTGAAAAGTGAATCACGAAGTGATAGCACTAAATGGCAATAGTACTACGAGGCTGGTTGCTCTAGCAAAATGTTCGCTTCAAAAGGTTTTATTACAAAGGATCTTGCCTGCCATTTAAATTTCATTTGAATTTTTGTTTTACATATTTTGCTCGCCGTTTATAGTAAATCTTTTTTTGTCTTAACAGTGACATTTACTAAAAATAATTTAAAAACTTTATTATACGCAGACGTAAGAAATTTGTCGGAATTAGTTTGTGTTTATAATAATACTCACAAACTTTTTAAGATAGATGTCACTATCACCTGTCATTTAAGGGTTCACTTCTCAAAATAATCTTAAAATCTATACATAATATTTTTAAAATTTCTTATATAAACACTTTTTTTTCGTAGACAATTAATTTGATCAAACAAATAAATTATTTAAGCCCAGACGACCTTTTTACAATTAATTAATTTTCCATTCTGATTTCTTTTCTTTTTTTTTCATTTTCGAAACGATATTTTTCAATTTTCTCAATGAAAATATTCAAAACCAGAAGCTCTTTCATGGTCATTCATCAAAATGTAAATAATTTATTTAATAACGGACAATCCTCTAAGCACATCTTCTTTCTTTTTTTTTTTCGAAACATTTAAATATTACCTTTTTAAGTTGTTTTAATACTTTGGATTTTTTGAAAAAAGAGAACCCAACCCAATTTTTAAAATAATTTCGCATTTAAATATTTGTATGACTAACTGGCTGAACGTAAACAGGCATAAAAATTGGAAAATAATAACCAAGAAGCACAAAAAAAAACAATACTTAATGATATAAAATTGAAATACAAAAGTAGAAACAAAAAAAAAAAAACAAAATTATTTAAAAGAATAGAAAAAATATTAAATTTTTCATACAAGCTTTAATAATTTCTCTATTTATTTCTTCCCCCTTAAGCTTTATTACAATAATGTAAAAAATTTTACATAGATATAAAAATTTTATTTAAAATATAAGTACTTACGAACCAAAATCCAAAATAATTGTTTTGTTTTAGAATCATCCCATTAATAGAATAATTAGAAAATTTAAAATTTTTATATTATGTTTTTGAATTTGTACAGTGAGAATATCACGGTTCCTTGTTTGGTTACTTTTCCCCAAGACTATTAAATAAAAATGTCTATTAAAAATCTTTAAGTTACTTTTAAGCTGCACACTAATTGAACAGCAAAACTTTTAAGCATGTTTTTAACTTTTATAGCATGTTGGGAATATTTAAATAATCATTTGTTTTGTATGGTTCCGCCTGACCCAGAATTGTTATTTCTTAATTTTATAATGTAGTTATGAGCTACTATTTAATTAAGACATAAAAGTATTTTGAATAACCGAATTCAACAACTAAGGTCCGTAAAAATTAAGTAACTAATGTTTGCTCTTGGCAATGTGGCAGTGTAATTCTCGAACATTCTTTAATTACAGTATGTATTATTATACACACCACAGTAAGCTTTGTAAATTCATAATTATTTACTCCCCTCACATTTAAAATAGTTCAGAAAGGAAATATACTCATATGCAATAATAATTCTAGAAATATGTTTAAGCGGATGAATTTAAATAAAATAAAAAATAATTATTTAATAATTAATAAGATAATTGTTCACATTTTATGAATTTTCAAATTTAAACATAAGAGGATAATCTTATAGTATATAAACTATTCGAGCTTCTCGTTCTAATAAATCCGTTTCAACAACAAAAGTATAGACAAAATTTTTATTTTGTCCATACTTTTGTTGTTGTCCATACAAATCAAATTAGGAACAATTTAAATTCAAAAGTACAAGCAAACTATTATTTATTTAACATTTTTTTTTTTTAAACAACCGAAACTTTAATAGGAAGACAACATATTTCTACATTAGGCTTGTACATTGTGATGTAAAATTTGATATAAATACAGTAAGTATTCAAAAAGAATAAAAGAAACAAAAAAAAATTCTTTTGTATCGATATCGAAACTAATTATTATTGCCATTTTTCAAAATAATATTTCAAAAAAAAATTTTTGATTTTAATTTTAATAAGAATAGAATTCTTTAAATTATAAGGGCAAATATAAAATTCTCATTATAAATACCATCACTGATTGGAAAGTAAAAGATAAACATTTAAAATTAGACTAAAAAATAATAGAAAAATCACAAATAAAAGCAAATTATATATTGATTTCCATTAATTGAAAAAAATATATAGAAAATAATAGGGTAATTTAGCCATATAACAAAATGATTTCAAAACAACAGAAATTTAGATTTTACCACACTAGAGTCTATACATGTTTCGAATTATCCCGTCTCAAACCCAGTATTATGCGAAATATTTAAGTTTTATCCTATACCCAAGTAACATGTATCTTCACAACATAATATCATAATTCTTTATTACATTTTGTCTTAAAATAAAACAAAAACTCTTTACAAACTTAATTAAAAACCGCTTATCTGACCAATATATTAGGATTTTCAATGTTCAAATAAATTGTAGAGTTCATGGCAAAAATTATAATAAATTGTAATTTGTTACAGTTTTTCATTTGCTTTTGTTATTTTTAATTATTAAAACCAATGCCAGACATAAAATAAATATTATTCTTCTTTTTAATTTTAATAATAACAATTTCCATTAAATTTAAATATAAAATTTTATTATTTTGACTATCGAATATTCTCCTTTGAATAAAATTAATACACAAATAGCATATTTCATCGATCCATTTCGAAAATGTTTTCGAATTTCTTTGCACCGAATTTCTTTGCTTTCGAAATATGTTCGAGCAAGAATGAATATTACAATAGCCTTTCGCCCCATTGTCCCTAATAGCTTTAACTACTTAAATTAGTTACCAATTTTTAAGTTAGTACAAATTTTTTTAATATTATCACTTTGTTATTTCTCCTGAATCTAAGCAAAATTAAATAGTAGTAAGATAATTATTTCAGTTGATCGTTTTTTTGAGTGTTAAACTTTATAAAAAAAACTGGTTATAGAACAAAATAGTTCCAGAGAAATTTGCTATTTTACAAAAGATAATCTATTGGCTAAAATTTTTTTTTTCATTTTCTATTTAATTCTTATAAATTCTACAAATTATTGATTTGGAAAGGAAATCAATGTCATACGGAAATAGAAGTTTTTCATCAATATTTATTTCTGATTTTTTTTTCATATGGTTTTAACGACCTAACCAAATTTTTCCTATTTCATGTACATATGTACATGAATTACCTACACATTTACAGAATTATTGGAAATTATTCAAGTATTTATAATGAAAAAGATAAGAAAAATTTAAAAAGAAAACAAAAAACTAATTCGAAAATTTTCGAAACAATTCCATTTTTTTTTTTGTTTTTGATAACCTTAAGGCAATTTTTTATATTAAAAATAGCGAATAATATTGTTCTTCTCTAGACCTTTTCATATACTGATTACAAACGTACATTAAACTGACTGAGATATTAACCATATTTTACAGATATATACCAAAGACAAGTAAGAATATAAGTAAGTATATATATACATTAGATTATCATTTCGTTACAATCACAAATATTAGGTTCGAATTTCTAGAGTTATATAGTGTGTATATTAGAATGTATAGGAAATGAAGAAACGAATGATGAATGAATGAACGTAATAAATGATGAGAAGATGTCAGTGAAATTATTGATCCAACTATTTTTTAACAAATTTTAACTGTTCTTCATTTCTACCTAACATTCTTACTTATATCATTCTATTTAATACATAACTATATTACATGCTTTTACTATATGGTTATCATATACGTTATTTCTGTTATCTATAGCACATACATCTCTTATACGGTTAGATATGACCTATTTACATGATTTACAAATTAAGAATTGTAAAATATACATATATGTATTTTATATGTAATTGATAACTGTATATATTTATAAATATATAGAATTATATACATTTGCATGCAAATATAGTATTCAAAACGCGATGAAAATGAAAAAAAAAAAAAACAAATGATAGTAACAAATTCCGAAATTGTCTATGCGATGAAATAAAAATGAAAAACAATAAGCAATTAATTTTCTTTTTTTTTCTTTTACTTTTATTTTTCTAAGTTTTTAATGACTGTACGATGATGAGTGATACTTTTTTTTGTTTT